TTACATAACTGCATTGTGCTCTACCTTATGTAAGTAGATATTTAATTTTCAATTTAATTTGTTTTTACCCTCCTACCTTTATGGTATGTACTGTTTTATTTCTCTTCCTTATATATGCAGAGAGGATCTGTACTACCCATATATCCAAGAATGGGGATTATACCACTTTACGCTATAGTTCAGGAGCCAATATAAGAGTATCCTTAAAATACTAAAAGTAGGTAGGTATAAAATTGTACACTCACATGTTAAGTGTAAAATATTACACTATTACTAATATTTTGTCTGTTCTACTTTTATATGTCCATGAGAATCGATTGTCTGGAATTTACCTGTAGAATTTACAATTAATTGAATAATACTCCACACATAAATTCCAGGTGATCAGTTTATCCTGGTGTAGATTAAAAGGCATTTGGTTCGGAGAAGCTGAAGTCTAGTGCTGAGTAACCTAAAAGTTACTTTAGAACCCCTATGTCACGAACGCACCCTACTTCAGGAGTGTGCGTGACGTAGTTGTGGTGGTGACAGGGTTAAGGTTCACTGTTTGTCTGCACTAGACCAGAAATAATGATAAAATCCCCCTTAACACCACCCACACTTCAGCATAATAATATAAATATTCCTATTTTAACGCTGCCACCACCAAGACAATTTATAAATGGGATGCCTTGGTCCCCCAGGTAACGGAATGCTAAAAACTCACCAAATACAATACTTAGTAACTTGTTTATGTTACTGTTGAATATTATTGATGGAGTTCTCTGAATTGTAAGTAGTGCGAAATACAAAAATAAAAATAAATATAAATATAAGTAAGAACAAAAGTGAAAATAAAAATAAATAGAAACAAAAATAAAATTGAAATGCAAAATAAAAAAATAAAATAAAAGTCGAGATAGAAAAATACGAGAAATGTAGATATGGATTGAGGACTACAATTACATAGAGAATTGTAAAGGGTTTAGAGTTTGTTAGATTGATAGAAATTTGTGGATAATGTATGTATCTTTCTTTTGAGGGCTAGAAAGCTGCCAGGTCAAGATCTTTGTTGAATGCTCCATTATAGAGGGTGCCCATCTTAAAGATCCAAGGATAGGATTCTCTTTGTCTCAGAGTTCTTAATCAATCTCCACCTCTTTTAGTTGGATGGATAGTTTTGATTCCTTTTACAGAGAGGCCTCAAAGGTCTCCATTGTGCGCTTCTAGGAAGTGTAATGGGACTTCATGATTAGTGCATTTTCTTTTTATTGCTCTTATATGTTCACATATTCAGTTTTTTAGCGTACGGCATGTTCGGCCTATGTGCTGTTTGCAAGGGCATTCCATGAGGTAAACGACATATGATGTAGTTGATGAATCCTTCTATCTCATGTTTTCTTTCATTGTTATGCTTAGATGAGAAATATTTATTGTTCTTTTGTTTTATGAATGGACAGGTGGTGCAATTTTTTCTTTTGCATCTATATGTTCCTTTTAGTGATAGGTTTCTAAGAGGGTTGTTATTTTTCTTGTGTGACATACTTGGTCCTACTAGATTCTTTATTGGTTTTTTTTTTTCTGAAAACTATTTTTTTTTTTTTTGTAAATCTTTTTATTAAGGTATTTTCAAAATGTGGAAGGCAGTTAGTTGGTAAACAGTGTGAAACTCGCAGGTTTCTGTTGTTTGTAGGTACATATTATACAATACAATGAGGTACGCAGATCTCCGCGTAACTTTCCATAGGGAGACTCGCAGATCCCCGAGCAAGGTGAATTTGCTGTTCACACTTTGTAGGCAGTGTAGGTGTTCAAGAGGGAGAAACGGTAGTATCATACAGAATAGTACGTCTGGAGCAATCAGATTGCCTCACTTAACCAGAGTATGTGTAAAGGGCAAACAGAAGTTGTGTCGGGACAGGTTGTTCTCAACTGTCTGTGGCGGGAGCCACTTGACAATGCGTTACCTGGTCGTTTGGGCAGGAAATTGAAGCAATTATAGGAAAGGCGGGTCACAGGCTCCCGCTGGGTTCGGACTCGTAGATCCGTTTTGGTGTCGCTAGGTATATCCTAGCACGCAGAAGTGGTGGGAGTAGTCTTAGTTCGTAGCTAGCATTGGCTATGGTCAACGTCGTTACCCCTCCCGGCAGAGCCTGCAGTTCGCCAGTATCCCGTATTGCGAGTTACATGTAGCTGTCAGTGACAATGCAATTGTCCAGTGTGAGTAAGTGTACTATGTCATTGGTGTGTGTATCAGCGTTAGCATATAGTGAGTGTGATGTAGGTCTACGTGGTACATGACCGTAAGTTATAAACGTGTGTTGTCCCTTACTTCGACTCGTGCCACAATAGTGTGTGTATCTAAGTATATCTCGTGTTCCCCAAGCTATGGTTGATCGTCCAGGCCCCGCGAGGGCTAGAAGCATATGTGATGTGAGAGTGTAGCAAATTGCATGTCCAATAGTATTTCCCCCGAGCCCTGTCCCTCTGCCCCGAGTCCCGGAGCCTGTTAGCTTAGCGATTGCAGAGGTGGAGAAGGATAGATAGGGAGTAGGTATAGAAGGAAGGGGTGTAGGGTGGGTTGGTCTGCTGCTCCATTAGTGGGTTCAGGAGCATCTTCTGCTTGTCTATACTGGGTAATGTATATGAACCAAGGGAGCCACATCTCCATATGTTTCGTTTTACGGTCGGTCAGGGAGGCGTGAATGTCTTCTGCCCCATGTATGTCTTCCACCCTGCGGATCCATTCTTTCTTCGACAGTGTATTGCGTTGTTTCCAGAGTGCCGGTATGTTAGCTTTGGCCGCGTTTAGCAAGTGGCATAGTATAGATCTTTTGTACATCCGGATGGGTTGTGTCGAGATGTGTAACAGGGCCAGCTCTGCGCTCCATTCCGGAATGTCTCCCAGGATGTCGGTTACGGCTTCCTTAATCATCGCCCAGTATGGGACGATGTCCCTACATTCCCACCATATGTGTATCAGCGTGCCGCGTTCTGCCTGGCATCTCCAGCACAATGGGGTAATTGATGGGAAGATCCTGTGCAACAAGGTCGGGGTCCTGTACCATAATGAGAGCAATATGTAGTTGACCTCCTGGTAGTACCAACTCATAGAGCTTTTCTGCTGCCAAAGTAATGCCGCATCCCATTGTGCGGGTGTGAGCGTCTTTCCGAGTTGTTCCTCCCATTGACGGCGGAAGGTGGAGGCCTGGGTCGTATCCCCTATAAGTAAGTGTTGGTACATCGCCGAGATTGCGTGGCCTAGTGGGGTGCCCCGGACGCATAGGCCTTCAAACCAGGTGAGATCGCGATGTAGGCGATCTTTATGTGGCATCGAATTATAGTAATGTTGCAATTGTATGTATCTGAGGACCGCAAGAGGGGTCCTAGGTTCTGTCCCCAACAGTGAGGTCAGGTCCCGCAACCTGCCCCCTTCAAGAATTTGATAGATGGGGATATAGTTCCTAGTGCCCGCGATGGGCCATGCCCCTGATGGTAGTCCTCCTCCTAAAGTCACGTTATGCGTAATCGGAATCATGGGGCTGGGGGTAGGCGAGATGTGGCCCAGGTTCCTCAGCGATCTCCAGCTGAGCAGCGTGTGTCGTATCAGGCCCCATCTGTTTCCGTTGGATACCTGACCCCTCGCACTTCCCCATATCTCCATCTCGAGTGATGGTCCGAGTAGGCCTTTGTCAAGCTCTACCCATTGTTTCGTCGTGGGGTCCTGGTGCCAGTCCAGTATCCGTTGCATTATCGTGGCTTGATGATATTTCTTGATATCCGGGAGTGCGAGTCCTCCGTGGTGTCGTGGTCGGCAAAGGATATCATGTCGGATTCTGGAATGATCGCCACGCCATACAAATTTAATTATAGCCGTTTTCAGAGAGGAAAAGAAGATACTTGGTATGGCCAGTGGGATTGTCTGCATGAGGTAGAGAATTCTCGGTAAGATATTCATTTTGAGTACTGCCACTCTGCCGTGCCATGTTATGTGAGGGTACGACCATCTATTCAGGTCAGTCACGATTGACTTCAGGAGGGGAGCAAAGTTGAGTCGATAAATGTCATCTGGGACCGTAGCCACCCAGATTCCCAGGTATTTCATTTTACCATAACACCAACGGAAAGGAAATTGCGAATCAAGGGATGCGTATTCTTCTGTAGGAATCGTGATATTCAAGACTTTGCATTTTGAGAGATTAAGCTTGAAGCCTGAGATTCGACCAAATTTGTCGAATTCCGAGAGCAGGCAGGGTAGTGTTGTCCTAGGACTTTGTACAAAAAACAAGAGGTCATCCGCGTACGCGGCTACTTTATGGTGTGTGTCTTGCCAGTTATAGCCTTGAATGTTTGGGTTTAAGCGAATCGCCTGGAGTAGTGGTTCCAATAACATCGCGAACAGAAGTGGCAAGAGTGGGCAACCCTGACGGGTGCCATTGCTGATCGCGAAGTTGGCAGTCGTGGACCCGTTAACTCTCACAGTCGCGTGTGGTTTACTATATAAGGCTGATATCCACGTGAGGAACCTCTGCCCACATCCCATCCGTTGTAGAGTGGCCATCATGTACGTCCAGTCGACTCTATCAAATGCCTTTTCCGCATCGGTTAATAAGAGGAGTAGCCGGGTTTTCGTTGCCCTGGCGTGTTGTTGGATGGAGAACAGCCGCAAAGTGCTATCCCTAGCCTCCCGTCCCGGGATGAAGCCTGTCTGGTCTACGTGAATCAGATCCGGTAGGAGGTAGTTGAGTCTGCTTGCTATAACCTTGGTGAATAACTTGGCGTCTACGTTTAACAAGGATATGGGATGATAGCTTCCGCAGAGTAGTGGGTCCTTTCCCGGCTAAAGCCGAATGTAATGGTCGCTGCCAGGGACTCCGCGCCCAGGTTCCTGCCCTCACCCACCGCATTAATCGCTTTGGTCAGCCATGGCAGCAAGAGATTGGAGAAATTCTTGTAGTAACCAGTCGAGAAGCCGTCTGGACCCGGGGCCTTGCCCGATTTGGATACTCTGAGGGCTGCCGCTAGCTCCTCCATGCTGAGTCTTGGTCGATCACGTTAGTGATCGTGTTGGACAAGTAGTCTGTTATTCGTGTGTTGTGGCTTGCTTCGAGTGTCGTCCGAGGGGGAGGATGTAAATTGTAAAGGTTTTGGTAAAAGGTCCGAAACTCATCAGCAATCTTCTGTGGGAAGGGGGTCACCTCGCCCGAGGCCAGTCGTAGTTGTCGTATTTGCCTGTGGGGCATGGGGCCCTTTAGTAGCCTAGCCAGGTATCTCCCCCCCTTATTAGCGTGGGCATAGTAGAACCCTTTTGTACGTTGTAGATTGCGAAGGTGTTTTCGTGTGATGAGGTCTTTACGTTTCCTCCTGTGTTCCATCAGTTCCCCGTAAACTCTGTTCAGCTGTGACCGTTTGTGTTGGCTCTCCAGCGAAGTTATCTTCTGGTACAGGTCGGTCATCTCGATCATATTTGCTTTTCGTTTTTGCGACGCAATGCGGATAAATATACCGCGAATGACGCTTTTGTGGGCCTCCCACACGGATATCGGGGATGCTTCAGGCACGCCATTTTCCCTGAAGTAGTGTTCCAGCTCCTGATTTATTTGATCTTTTGCGGTGGGGTCCAGCAGCAGCGCCTCGTTGAGTCTCCAGGTCCAGGACGATGGTCGGAACAGAGGGGATTCCAGTTCCATCCAAACCGAACCGTGATCTGACCACGTGGCTGGGTCTATGTCGGATCTAAGCAGGCGGGTAAGTCCCTCTTGTGTGATGAAGAGGTAGTCTATGCTCGAGTACCGATTGTGAGTAGGTGTAATCCTTCACCGATGGGTTAAGTGTCCTCCAGCAGTCAGCCAATCTTAGGTCCTCCAGTGATCTACGAATAGACCGTATGCTGCTCTGCGGGATGCAGCTATGTCCCGACGAATAATCTAGCACTGGGTCCAGGGGCACGTTGAAGTCTCCCCCCACTATCAGAATACCATCCGTAAAGTCCTCCAGGATGTGCAGCATATTGCGAAGAAAGGGTGCTTGCCGTCGGTTGGGGACGTAAATGCTGGCCAGGGTGTATATCTTATCAGCTATGACCCCTTTTAGGAAGAGGTATCGTCCTTGGGAGTCTTGAGCACGTTCGAGTTCCTTAAATTCGAGCTCGGCAGCCAGTATGATGGCTGTTCCAGCTTTGTGGGCCGTCGAATGGTTGGAAAAAAAGTTGTTTGGGTAGTGTCTATCTTTTAATGGAGGTGCTGCGCCCTCTTTGAAGTGGGTTTCCTGGATCATGGCCACTGATATGTGTTTTTTCTTCAGTTCCCTCAGAAGGTGAGATCTGCGTTCAGAGGCCTCTGCAGTTTTGTGTGAGAACCCTTAGGGGTGTATTTTGGTAGGCTATCCCCGAAGCGTGGTTCGAGTACGTCTTTAGATCTCTGATGTATCAAGATATCCTGTGTCCCTGAAGGGAACCGTCAGGTTACGTGGCCTTGACACAGATCAACGTGGGGAGGGTAAAGGAGGTGGAGAGGGGAAGAGAAGAATGAGAAGAAAGAAAGGTAAATGGCAATGGCTCTAGGGAGCAAGATCAGGACTCCGGTTCCCGGGGAAGAAGCCCACCCAGGGTTATTGTAGTGAGATGAGGATGGGGGCCCGTGTCTCGGGCAGCTACTCCAGTGTTGGGGTATCCTGAGTGTAGCCCCTTACGGGGTGATGTAAGTGGTGGGTCTCGTGCTGCAACCAGCGCTAGTGGTACCTCGCCCTGGTGCCCGCCCAGAAGACGAGAGCAACCACAGCCCAGTTGCCCAACTCGTAGAACAAGAGTGTAATGTGGGAAGCGCGCGTCAGGCTCTGCCCAAGAGAATTGGTAAACCAAACAATGGAACCGTCTGCCCCACCCGACCCCCTTCAACTAGTGTCAAGCCAATTAGGTCAATCTGCAATTGCCTGGTGCTCTCGGTTTCTCAGGAGTGTGTCTCGGGAGCATTGTAAATTAATTAGGCATCGGCTACTGTTCCCGTCCCAGAACCCCCGTGTCCCTCATTGGCCCCCCGGGTGAGGGAGCCGCCCCTGGTTCGCGGCCTATCGCTATCCAGATCTCAAAATTTAGCCGTGTGTGTCCTGGTGCGGCAGGGGGGGGGAAGGTGGGGGCTAGCGGCACCATTACATTCTATAGTGACCGTAGAGGGACTAAGTTCAGGACATCTCTTTCAGTCAACAATTGTCCTCCCCATCTACCCATCTGGCGGGAAGAGTCTGCCCTTTCTCATGGGAGTACCAGCTGGTGACTCGGGTTCAATGTTTGGCCAGTACGGGGCCATATAGTAATAGGGTGCTATAACAGCCCCCATAGGTAAAACATGCAACAATAACAGAACTTGGTGCAACAGTATATCAACAGCGTTCCCCGGTACCCCAATCCCACCCTCCAGCCAACAATATCCGCCTGACACCGGGCCCCCCCTCGTCTCTCAAGTCACATGTGGTAGGTCGAGGGACTCTCCCGGTCCAATAACTGTCATCACCTCACAGATCCCTATAAATGGGACTCGTAATTCCCTCCTGGTCAGCAATAAAAAGTGTAGGCGGAGGGGGGGGGAACCGTCAAACTACATCTCCAGCCCGCAGCACGCCCACCTCACAAGATCCGAGCAAAAGGCAGAAACATAACAATAGTTGCACAATATACCACCCCACAAGCTCCCCACCCCACATCCCACGCACTTAGGTATATGCTGATACATGTACAATTAGATTAAGATAAAAAAAAAAATAATTTATGGCTACTTGACAGCGTGGATGCCAGGAGTCTCGGTGTGCAGTTCAAAGCACACAGTGCTGTGATGAAAGCCCTCGCCCTCATCGGAGAGCCCCTCTCCCCAAAACAAATAAGCCCGGGTCCCAGTAAAGAAGCTTCTTCTAGGTGAAGAGGGTGGCAGGGTAGTCACAGGGAAAGTCACCCGGCGGGGCTATAACAACCAGGAGCACACCCACAGGCCCATGCTCCGAACCCTTAAATACCCCCAAGCCCCCTCCCAAGAGGTGGCTCATATTGTCTGTAAGCCCCAGCAGTGCCCATACAAACCGTGGGGGTTGGTGTCGCCATCTCCATTAAAATTCCCAAAAAACTAGGCCGGTGGGTCACCCGTGTGAGGACTTAGGGAATCCAATGTCAGCCCTGGAAGGTCAGCGCTCACTCCTCTGGGGACGTCGGGTTCCGACGCCGTCTGGCTGGCTGAACGGAGGGGGAGCGGGCTTCTCTCCGCCTAGGCACCCTTTGCGGCCTCGGTACAGGGGCCGTCGGTCCCAAGATCCAGTTAGGGACGACAGGTGTTGAAAGGCCCAGTTCCTCCATGAACCGCGGGACATCCTCAGGCCAGCGCATAGAGATCCAGCCGTTATGGTGCCTGGCCAGCAAAGCGAAGGGGAACCCCCATTTGTAGGATATGTTGCGATCCCTCAATGCGGCCGTCACGGGGCGGAGAGCCCCCCGGGCCTCCAGCGTGATCGGGGACAAATCGTTATACAGGGCCACCTGCGCACCTCGATAGGGCCACGTTGGTCTTTCCCTGGCCTTCCTCATAATGGTATCTTTAACAGGGAAGGAGTGGAGGCAGCATATGAGGTCTCTCGGGCCGTCTTCCAGGGATCTGGGTCGTGTGATTCTATGTGCCCGCTCGAACTCTATGTGTTCTGGTGATGTCGGTTGCAGGATAGTCTGAAAGATTTCGGTGAGTATGTCCACGACATTTTCAGCTGTACCCTCGTCCTCAGGCACTCCCAGAATGCGTATGTTACACCTCCGACCTCTATTATCCAGGTCCTCGAGGTGTCTCCTCATTGATAGGAGCATCGTACCTTGGCGGGCTATTGCTGTATCCGCGGACGTTTGGCGCACCATGAGGGCCTCAGCTGCCTCCTCCATTCGTGAGATGCGGCCCGCATGGGATGCGACTTCGGATCGGATCCCCGCTATTTCAGCTCTTAGGGTGTCCTGGATGGCTGTGGTGAGGGACTTCAGGTCGTCCTTCGTGGCCATAGAAGCCGTCAGATTCCCCAGCCTGTCTTCAATCCTCTCGAGGGCAGTGCTGTCCGACCCCGGCGGGGTAGTTGGCGCCATCTTGGGGCTACCCACCTCCCCGCTAGCACCCGGTTGTGGGTGCAGGAACCCATCCAAGGGGCCCTGCTGGAGGTTCCTGGGGGCCTGGGGTTGCTCCGGGCGTTTATTGCGACCCATTTGGCTGAGTGGTAAGCTAATAAAGGGCTTTTCAGGGTCGGGTGGAGCGGAGCTCTCCTTCTATGCGGCCATCTTGGTCAGCGCCGTAGCCACGCCCCCCCTATTTTGGGTTTTGTGTTGTTGATACACATGGCTTTATCCTGGGCGATGATTGGCCAGTGTTTCCACATAATTTTCTTAATGGTTTCTGCCAATGTGTTATAAGTGGTCACAAAGACTGGTAGTTGTTTGTCTTTCTTTGTATTAACAGTTTCTTTTTTTGGTTTCTGATGTTTTTTTCTTTTGGAGGCAGAACCTAATAAAGGAATATTTATTATGAGCAAAAAATAATCACAGTACATACAAAAAATAGGTGATCAACAACTTATTTAAACCAACAACAGATAAAAACAAAACAGATAAAATAACAGAAGACCTAATCACTTACTCCTTAGATTTTCAAAGTAAAACTTCTGCCCAGGGTGTCTCTGGCAGGTAAGATGGTGACTTACTCAAAATTAGATTTTGGCCCCAAGCAAGTGCAATACACATTTCAATACCATTGCATATATACCCTGTGGATTACCAAGCCTGGCCCAGAGGTGGAGATAAGGCGTACCTATAGAAATGATAAGTGACCACCCCCTTTTGTTCCAGACCAACATCAATCCAAATAGAAACTTTTGGTTCTATTTCCTCTTTTGTACTTGCCACAGCAATAATAATTTAATCTATTAATGTGTTTTTTCCATTTTTCCATTCCATAGATATGTCACGGTTCTTACTTGTGACCCAATATAGCGGACACCACAATCCCGCACAACGGCGTAAGTTACCAAATCATGTTTAGGGTCATGCTTAGGCTTGATTAGAAGACTGTGCTTGTCCCATTCTAAATATAATAAAAATTAGGCTTAATTATTAATTTGTGGGTAAGTATTAATGTTTCTTTTTATATGATACTGGAACACAAGACTAATGCCCATTAACATATCAAAGGACTCCCTATCTAAGAGGGAATCTAGACATATGGCAAATAAGAGAGTTAGTTTATATTTAAACCAGACTTCCAGGCTTCCAGGTTCATCTATGCACTACACACTTTACAATAAATGACAATGTTCCATAGTGCAACAATGAATTATGCACACTTGATGTGACACCCTACAAAAGCACTAAAATTAGGTTAAAATGAGAACCCGCTCCTTCAAATGAGTTACCAGCTAGCTATTTGATCATATGCCCAGGTAGCTGTCAAGCAGTCACAGTGACAGAATGATTATTTTAAGGCAAATATGTGGTTTTGTGCCTGTATTGGATGATTATATTATTATCCAGGATGCTTCTAAGTAAATTACATAACCCACTGAACAGTAAATTATGGAGAGAACTTTACAGAAATGTTTATTTTTTATATATAGGAAGTCATTTCCCATTTAGTTTTCCTTTAAATTATTAGAAGATGACTGTCATGTCTTCATGACAAAGTATGTTTAACAAGTTAATAAGGGCAAAACATATGATATTTACTGAGGTTTCTATTAAACGGAAATTGAATAACATCTATGATATATGTTAGTGGAAAATAATTGAAATAATGAAATACACAGCAGTGCATAGACTCATCTTCTACAATGGCCTTTCTCAGTGAGATATACCACAGCATTTGCATTTCCAGTTCTGCAAATAAAATATCAATTGACACAAATATCTACATTAGTAGCATTGAGTGTAAGTCATGAGACAAATCATAGGTTTATTCACAAATAGCACCAATGAAGTAAACCCCACTGAGTAACATATTTGAATGGCTAAAGTGACAAGTGGACAAAAGGTGTAACAGCCATTGAGGAGAACTGTGCTCTGGAGAATAGTGCTCAGTTATAAACCAATGGAATTATTGATCATGCCCTGATAGATCACTTTTCTTGCGGAGAACTGAGCAGTGATTTTGCAAGAGCATAAGTTGTACACAAAAACAGTTTTATTAAGATCCATTGGTTTTGGTGCTTTGAATGGCCCTTTAATAAGTGTCATAATGAAACAAGTGGTAATGTTGGAAGTGGGGGGGTAGCAGCAACATATTAAACATATTTGATTGTAAATCTACAAGCATAATGTATACATAGCACAGATATATTTTGATGCTGTCTTAAGACACTTTAGGTACGTCCGAGGATACATGGTCAAACCAATTCCATCTACTTAAATTTTTTTTTACTATGTTTCCAGGGGAAAACTACTTGTTTCGTAATAACTAGAAAAAATATTTATTAATATCATACAGATAATTTCTAATTGAATCTTTTCCTAGTAAAACTCATTTGAACAATTGCTAACTTTTTAGAATGGCACAGTTTTTTCCTGGCATTATCAGTTCATTTGGAATGAGCATTTCTAGTAAAATTGACCTAGACGCCAAGGTCGGAAGAAATTAGATCGATATATTTCCCACAGTATAAACGTCTGCAGGTTTTGTCTCTTTGAATGACCTGCTTTGCATTACTTTGTTTGTTAAGGCTGATTCCAAAGTCAGTTCACGTCAATGATGGGAAACAGTAGCAGAGTAAATTTACTTCGATATCCAGACTCAAAAAATCAAGGAAAAGTGAAGCAATAGCCTCAGGCAAAGATTTAATTTGTTTTTGGCAAATGAATGGACATGGCTGTGTCTTTCCAGAATCTCTAACTGCCATTAGATTCACAAGAGCTCAGTTGATAGCTGTACATTGAAATTATTGTGCTCTTTTTGTTGTTTTTATTATTTTTAGTCATTATATTTAAATGTGCTTTACGAGTTTCGAGGTAAATCTCACAGAGGTTATTATTTAGTTTACTATATAAAACAAATCTACAAAAGGAGATAATGAACAGTTACTACAGTTGTACTCTAAGTTAGGCACTAAGAGACATTAGTTTCAGAAATATCAAATTAATGGAGGGTTTCATTTTCTCATTTTCCACAGTTATAATGATATTATGTATTATTAAATATGTAGCTTAATAATTATAATACATTTTCCCCAAACGGTGCTCCAAATGCTAAGTACTCTCTTTTAGACTTACTCAAATGATGTATGACCTGCACATTGGCTGTAGATGACACATGAAAGTTGAGCTTCTGTTTCCTAAGAACTTCCCATGAAAATTGCAGATTCAAACACTATGTTTGAACAGATATAGATGGCCGTGTAAGCATTCTTTATGTCCATAACCATGAAGGCCAACCTTACTTCTCTGGTATATAAAAATATAAACACTATCCAGAGAGAAATTACAGACCTCCACATGGAGACTGCTGATTTAGAAGAGATTGTAACATCATTTAAGGTATGATCTGATGATGCACAACACAGTACTGTTGAACTTTTTGATACACAACCTAGAGATATGTTGCTGAACATGCACAGGTACTTGGAAGACCTTGATAACTGGGATTATAGGCATAAAGTTGGTTTGAGAGTCTGCCTTAAATTTCTTGCCTTTGAACTCGTAAAAGACAACTCAGCAACTCTGCTCCACCGTGTGCTAGTTCATGTAGTAGGTTGTATGTTGCCATCACTCTTTCCCCATGAACAAACAAATCATAAATCTTGATTTGGTTTACCTGCCTGTTTTGTGGTCCAGAAGTAGCCCTTTATTAGAACTCAGCGGAAGCAAACAGGATGCTACACTCCATAACTAATGTGGTAAATGATCAGCATATTGTATTTATACACTGTTTCCCTTTTAACCTAATAAGTTGAAAGGGATCTGTTGGGGAATATTATCCAGTGGCCTATGATGTTTCAAGCTTCCTCCAAGCTCTAGATTAACTGCCAACAGAAGTACAAGATTTGATTTTTACACCATATAGCAGTTGAGACAATACCTGCCAAAGACAGGATGGCCAGGGCCTTAGACAGCAACATTCCCCCAGATGAATAGTTCCTCTTGGTGATCAGAAATAATAAAAACATTGCTTCCATTGCTTCCCATTGTAATATGGCACATAAAACAGAAGAATATATTTGTCATCTGTTTTTATTGTTGTTTTTTTTTTTGTGGAGAACCCATTGACTTCCTTGCCAAATCACTATCTTATGATAGACTTTCCAATGTAGAATGTTACACAGTCACAAGAACACAGAACTGCACCAACCATCTCTCTTTCTATGATGCAAACCAACTGTATAATTGTGGTTTTGGTTTGCTCCTGATCTGAGCTCCCTTACCAGGAAGAATGTGTTCTCCTGCTTCAGAGTAGATATAAAGACACTCTTGTGTGTACTGACCTGGCACTGTGAATTTCTCAATCTATAAATTAAGCTGCTAGCTATTTATTTGGATTGGAACCTCCAGTGATCTATACCCACCAAAGTGCCTATCTAATTTTATCAGTTGTTTGTGTAACTTGCATGCATTTGACTGGTCATCGACTGGGTCTTGTACCCAGATACATGATTAAGTCCTCACGTCCGAAACATTGTATCTTTGTTTTGTCACCTGGACCATAATTAAATTTACTTCATTCTTCACCCTGCACTGTGTAGCCTGTGGCTCTATACTTCTCGGTCTTTAATCCATATATTTATATGGGCAAAATCACGTGGTTTCAAATTTTGAAATTTTAATATGACATTCTTCTGCTATCAGAACATCCATTGGTAGATATACTAGTTACACAACATTTTTCCTCCCACTAGGCATCAGTAACCAACATTGTTCTTAGACACTAAACAATGGGAGGAACATTTTCAAATACACCTTAGCTTTCATTCTTCACACATTTTCTTAATTATTAATGCTATTCATTCTGTCTATTGATCAAAGTCACTCTTTGAGAACTATATCATCAAATTCTGTACAGTTCAGTGCAGCTGTTATGAATTAAAGAGCAGATTAATATATTGCTCACGATTCTC